CTACCAGGTGAAGGCCACAAACTGCAGCACACAGAAGAGCAGAGCAAGTCCATTGTTCTTCCACTGCAGAGACACAACGACATGATTTAGACACGACAACAAGCTGCAACACAACGAGCTGAGCAACGAGTCGGGTTCTCACCCAGAAGGCAGCGCAGAGCGTCAACGCCAGACACACCTGCAGAGACACAACGGCACGTTGAGGGAGCGGCGGGAGGCCGAAGGTTCTTTGAAGCTAACTTCATCAATGAACACAGTCAGAGAAACGCTTGTAGCGGCGGCCGGTCCAGCAGGACGCGGCGCCGTTGGGTTCTCACCAGCATGATGGCGGTGGCCAGCGCTCGCTCTTTAGCACACATGGTCCTCAGCTGCCGGCACGGTCCAATCAGGAACATGGTGCTGAAACACAGAACCACAAAGCTGAGACACACCGCAGTTCTGAGCTCCACCACTGGAGGGCGACGGGTCCTCAGTTCTAACAGTTCTGGTCAGTACCTGGCCAGAGCACAGATGTTTCCCACGCTGTAGAGGACAGCAAACACAGCAAGGCCAACACCTGGAATCCACAGCAGACAGGTACCCTGAGACAGACGCACAGATGTTACCATAGAGACACACGGTACAGTTACCGTGGATACTGACAGAAACAAAGAAGCCATTACCTCAGATCAGGACAGCTGAAACAGAAAAGACGACTGATACAGAGAAGAAGCTAACGGTCACTTTCTGCAGACAGGGTGCTGTCACCACGGAAACGCAGAGAAACAAAAGACAAACTGTTACCATGGAAACAGACAAGCATATGTAACTGACCCTTTCCATGGCAACACACAGACAGACACAGATTGATACCTTGTATACGGGAGGTAAGACAATTAGCAAGGACAGGCTGTTACTATGGATACCAGCGGGAGGGCAGGCTGCTACCATGGAAATCGACAGTTGGAAGAAAAAAAAGGGCGGGCTGTTCAGTCAGACAACAGATGAAAGACTGTTGCCGTGAAAACCGACAGTGCTGCGTTGGAGCATCGTGAACTCACCAGGACGGAACACACGGCGCCCAGAACGAAGCAGACCAGGAAACCCTTCATCCTGGTTCCCCAGGCCAGCGTTGACGCCTGATTGGCTCTCTGCACAGATGTCATCATCAGCATCATCAGCAGTGTGTTAGCAGGTGAGTGTTTATGTCATTTACGTTAATATCTGGTTTATTACATTTCCGTTATTTCCGTTCATCTTTTCTTCCTGATGCTGGAACACACTTTGCTCTAATCAGGGCTTCTCAACTGGTCTCACCCTGGGACCCACATTTTCTGATGGTCATTAAGTCACGACCCAATTTTTTAAAAAATTCAATGTTCAATATATTTTCCTGTGCAACGTGTATTTCAGAGCTTATAACCATGCACAGGAACTGGACCATTACCACTGTATGCACAGAAGTGAATAAAATAAATATCAGAACTACTCTAAAATAAAGTTTTGGCCTCATCGGGTCATGTGTTGAAGTTAATGAGACAGTTGGGCTCGTGCTCTACTCCTGATCAGAGGTCCAGAGTCTGGGCTGACAGCAGACAGAGCTGCTCTCAGATCCTGCTCAGTGTCCAACCTGTTCCTCTGCTGTGACCTGAGCTGGACCAGGGTAGAGAAGCTACTGTCACAGCAACAGGCTGAGCTGAATGCTAAGATTGTTTTACCTGCAGGAGTGGTGAGGGGTGGATGCTCAGCCATCACATCGCTGCACCAGAAGAGGGAAAGGCTGACCTCCCCACATCTCTTTCTCAGCGTCTGATCACATGACAGCTTCAGCGACAGACGACCGAGAGAGAGGAGCCCATTATTATTATTATTATTCAGACAGGGGGAGATCCAAACTGATTTCCCGATTCCAGCACAGTGAACCAATAGGTGGCTATTCGGGTCCAGCCCGAGTACTAATTTAAATAGTCCGGGTCATGTTTTTGACGTTTTGCGTCCCAACATCAACACAGACTTAAAATGAATATCAAACAAACTATGGTTACCGTGCCTGTCAAAAAAAAAAAAAAGTCCAACCTGAGACGCACATTATATATGATTTATTTTTGACCAGCTGTCTGCGACGCACCCAGAACAGGTCCGCGACCCACCAGTTGAGAACCCCTGCACTAACTCATGTGTGAACTAAACTTGAACGAATATTTCTGTGTAAAATTTAGGATTGTGCTTTTTAACGAATTATTTCCACTCTAAGGTCTTTTAAATGTCTTGTTTAATTATGATGATGATGATGATGATGTGACATTAGAAGTTTAGAGAAACACCTTCAGGGTTAATAAAGTGAATGATTGTAGTGAGTCTGTTTCACTAAAGAGGTTTGAAACCTTCACATTTAACTTGTTCAATTCAGCCGAACCAGCTGCTAAGAGTTGCTGATTCTGATGTGTTCGCGGAGGTTCCGACCACTTTACCGGATCGCTGACAGCGAGGTCAAGCTAAAAACGTGAGGATTCCCAGTGGAGTTCGGCAGCGTCTTTTTTGCTGCTTTCTAAGCGGGTTTCTGGAGGTTTTTTCTGGATGAACAACAGAGATACCGATGTCTTCTGAAAGTATAAATCACTCTGGATCTAAACATCGTTATTTAGTGTCCGTGTGTTCTCATCTGTCTGAGTTACGGTCCTGCTCTTGACTCTAAAACTGGCTTTCCGACGGTCCTCAGTGTTTCCTCGCTAACTAGCAGCAGCTAACATGCTAACAACAACAGCACCTCCAGGATGCCGCTCCCGTCCGCGCTCCCGTCATCCTGCCCGCTCAGAACCCTCTTCAGTTTGTCCATGAGCTCCGTGTTTCTGCCGGACACCAGCCCCAGCCCTCCAGACTCTCCAGAACCTCCAAGTGAAGTCACTTTCAGGTGTTTTAAGGTGTTTCGCCGAAACAAGAGGCATCAACAGGTGCAGCACTTCCGCCTGCAGTACCGCCTCTGACCACAGCGTGCTCAAAGGAGGCGCTGTTTCCCCGTAGCTGAGTGTTCACTGCGCGTTCACATACAGGTACATCTCCATGTTTTATTTACAGGTGAGCACAGACAGGTGCAGTTCTGACACACATTACAGAATTCTGGAATGAAAACACAGACATCAATGCACGTGCATAAATATTTTACTATTTTTACCGACAGCTGAAACCAGGGTGAGCGTTTGGGTCGTTCTTCTAGACACGACTCCTGTCGTCGTCTAAAACATGAATTCTTCAGTCAGATGGAGCTTCTGGCCGTGAAGAAACAACACAGATGTTCACATGTGTTCTGTATTAGATCTGCATGGCTTCATTAAATATCGTCCTTGTAGATTATTGTAGATAAAAGTCATAAAACAGGGAATAAAGTCCAACATGGCTGCTTTCTGCTCTGACTTATGACCAGAACCGCTCACTGCATGTCATCCTAGTAGTTTAATGTGGCCTTCAGAGTGTTTCAACCTCGGCTTCCAGACGTGGGGGGTCTCGAGGTGAGTCTGACGGCTCACCAAATGAATCACAGAGGAAAGGACTCGTTTTTGCTTTTGGTTCTCATGAAGTACTGACTGAGGCTCAGTTCCAGGGGAGCTGGACGATGCCGGGACGAGGTCCGGTTTCAGGGCACTTTGACCCGGGTGGAGCTCCAGTGGACGGGCTGCGGCAGCGACACCTGGACGTGACACGTGGGACAGGACTGCTTCCTCCACAGCCACTCCTCGATGCACTGCAGAGACACATCAGTCAGGTACGTGATGCAACACCTGGACACCATGGAGGGACCTCACCTCCTCTCACATCTCACATTTACCTGCACAAAGTCACCTGCTGCCTGTTTGAATGACTTCACACCTGAAGAGGTAACACTAACACAAACCGAGGCTCCCTGAGGGCTCAGGTGTGATCCTCAGGTGATCTGTCTATGGTTACCTGCCTTCAGCTACCTAAGCCTAAACCCCAGCCCTGGAGCCGTGTCTCAGGTGTGTTACCTCTTTGTGGAAGGTGTGTGTACACTGCAGCTCTTGGGTGCCGCCGCTGCCTTGATGTAAGTCGTTGTGACAGATCAGACACACGCTGTAGGCGTCGCTCTGCAACACACATGGTTTCAGGTCACTACATGTTCTGTCGTGTGAACCATCATCGTGTCTTTAAACCCACCAAAGACATAACGTTGCGTCTCCTGAACTGGCCCCGCCTCTCAGAGGGCGTGGCCTCGGGGATCGTGGGTATGAGGGAGGGTCTTCTCTCGCTGGTGGGGGCGGCGACTTCCTGCGGGGAGGGAAGGAGGCGACGGGAGGACGAGCGATGCAGCAACACCTTCGCCGTTAACGGAGCCCGAGTAGACGAGTGCAGACGAGACAGTTGCATCGCTGAGAGAGTCGCCTGGAAGCAGAATGAATGATGGATTCAGCAGCTGTTATACAGGTTGAAGCAATTCACCTGTTTTAAAGGCAACAAACACACAAGACGGTAAATATGACAAATACAAAATCAAATATTACAACAGAATTCAAAGAACAAGCCTTAATAAAACCTGCAGGTTACAACAGCAGTGAGTCCAGACCTGTGAAGAAGTTCTGACCTCCATCAGCTCTCCATATCTCCAATGTTTCTTCGAGTAGTTCCTCTGAGGATCAGAAACGAATCCTTTATGAAGATGATGTTGAAATTCAGGCTCCAAACTAGGACCTCAAAGAACCAAACTGGGTCCAGCTGTGGTTTCCATCAGTCCACCTGCATGAACATGGTTCTACAAGGAGCTGAGAGCAGCAGAACCTTCTCAGTTCTGGACCTCTGGACTGTGTCTATCTATGTCTGCATCATGGCTCCACATGGAGAAGACCTGAACAGAGGAGGAGAAACATCTGACTGAGAGACTGGACAAA